CACAGCTCACAACAACCTCAAACTCTTGGGCTCAAGCGATTCTCTTGCCTCAGCCTCCCAAGTAGCTGGGACTACAGGTGCCCACCACAACACCCACTATTTTTGTTTGTTTGGGGTTTTTTTGCAATTTTTGCCCAGGGCTGGGTTTGAACCCACCACCTCCAACATATGGGGCCAGTGCCCTACTCCTTTGAGCCACAGGCACTGCCCCAACACCCAGCTATTTTTTGTTGTAGTTGTCATTGTTGCTTTGCTGGCCCGGGCCAGGTTCAAACCCGCCAGCCTTGGTGCATGTGGCCAGCACCATAACTACTGTGCTACAGGCGCCCAGCCCTTTTTGAAAGTTTTTACCATGTCTGTACACTTCAATTATTATCAAGAGTTTTGGATGAGGGTCGCGGCTCTGATCAGTGGTGGAAAGGACAGCTGTTACAATATGATGCAGTGTGTTGCTGCTGGGCATCAGATTGTTGCTTTAGCAAATCTAAGACCGGCTGAAAATGAAGAGGGGTCTGATGAACTGGATAGCTACATGTATCAGACAGTGGGTCATCATGCCATTGACTTGTATGCAGAAGCAATGGCTCTTCCCCTCTATCGCCGAACCATAAGAGGAAGAAGCTTGGATACAGGACAAGTATATACCAAATGTGAAGGTGATGAAGTTGAAGATCTCTATGAGCTTTTGAAACTTGTTAAGGAGAAAGAAGAAGTAGAAGGCATATCAGTAGGTGCTATACTTTCTGACTATCAGCGAATTCGAGTAGAAAATGTGTGTAAAAGGCTTAATCTCCAGCCTTTAGCTTACCTTTGGCAGAGAAACCAGGAAGATTTACTGCAAGAGATGATATCATCTAACATTCAAGCGATTATTATCAAAGTAGCAGCTTTGGGTTTAGATCCAGATAAACATCTTGGGAAAACCCTGGATCAAATGGAACCTTATCTTTTAGAGCTTTCTAAGAAGTATGGAGTCCATGTTTGTGGAGAAGGTGGAGAATATGAAACATTCACTTTGGATTGCCCTCTGTTTAAGAAGAAAATAATTGTGGATTCATCCGAAGTAGTCATACATTCAGCTGATGCATTTGCACCTGTGGCTTATCTACGCTTTTTAGAATTGCACTTGGAGGACAAGGTGTCCCCAGTGCCTGACAACTACAGAACATCTAATTATATACATAATTCTTGAAAAGCATTTTTTACCTTGTTCACTGAGCTGCCATTTCTATACAAAGTAATTACACAGTGTTTTCTCAATTATTATGATCAGTTTTTTTCTCATTACCTTTTTTTTTTACATTTCATAGAAAAACATACCTTAATCAGAAGAAGTTAATGGAACCATTTATTAATTGGGAAGATGTCAATGGGCTATACATTATTACTGCCAACTTCCACATAATTCACTTTCTCTTTTGTTAACAAATCCTCCCAATGACCCGTATGTTTTATGTGCCTCTTATTTTTCCTTTTTCTTCACCTATAATCCTCATTCTGTAACATTTGTTTTCTCTTATCATACTAGTTTCTTTCCCTCCTTCTCTCCTTCTTGTTGCCATCTCTGCTAAAAATGTCATGATGCAGAGGCATTTGAAAATACCGATGAAAGAAAGGATGGTCACTTTATTTATCGAGTCAGACTTATTCTACTGGATGTCACCAAAGTGACTTATCATTTGGGTTTTGGATGTATTAATGGTTCAAGAGTTTCAACGTTATTGTATGATAAAGAAAAATGTCATTAACTCGTGCTCATTTTATAACTGTTGTAAACATGTAATTTTAAAGTATTACTTGTGTTGACCTTAGACAAATTTTTATTTTTAAAAATGCTTTATTTTTTAGGACAGTTATAGGTTCAAAATAGAGCAGGAAGTACAGAGTTCTATCTACCCTCTGCCTTCACACTTCTTCCCCAACTATCAACATCCAGAATGGTGCGTTTGTTGAACCTACAGGGACCATTATAATCCTAAGTCCATCGTTTACTTTAGAGTTTACTTTTGATGTTGTACATTATATGGGTTTTGACAAATGCACAGTAGTATGTATCCACTATTACTGTATTATTCAGAATAGTTTCATTCCCTTAAAAATTCTTTGTGTTCACCTATTCCTTCTTCCCTGTCTTCTAACCCCTGGTAACCACTGATCTTTTGACTGTGTTCATAGTTTTGCTTTTTCCAGAAAGTTATGCAGTTGAGATGGTGCAGTATGTAGCCTTTTTAGATTGGCTTGTTTTACTCATTACTCTGCATTTTGGTTTCCCCATTTCTTTTCATGGATTGGTAGCTCATTTCTTTTTGGTGCTGAATAATATCCATTGTTTAAACAAATCCATTTATCCAGGCACCTACTAAAAGACATCTTGGTTCCTTCCACATTTGGGGAGTTAAGAATAAAGCTTCTATAAACAGCCATGTGCAGGTTATTTGTGAACATAAGTTTTTGGTTCATTTGTGTAAGTACCAAGGAGCACAATTACTGGATCATATGGTAAGAGAATGTTAACATTTTAAACTGCCTATTATCTGTCTTCCATAGTAGCTGTACTATTTTGTTTTCCTACCAGCAATGAATGAGTTTCTATTGTTCCACAACCTCAACAACATTGAGTGTTGTAAGAGTAGGTTTGAAATTTTATCTCATTGTGTTAGTTTGTAATTCCCTAAACGCATACAATGTTGAGCATCTTTTAATTTTTTTCTTTGCCATCTTTGTATCTTTTGTGAGGTTCTCTTGCAGGTCTTGTGCCCATTTGTAATCGGGTTATTTGCTTTCTTATTACTAAGATTCTTAAGAGTTCTTTGTATATGTTGGATAACAGGTCTTTATCAAGTATGTCTTCTGCAAATATTTCTCCCTTTCTATTGTTTGTTTTCTCTTTCTCTTAGCACTGTCTTTCAGAGAGCAGATGTTTTTAATTTTAATAACGCCACTTTATCAATTATTTCTTCCTCTATCATCTTTTGTTATTATATCTGAAAAAGTTATCACCAAACCGAAGGTCATCTACATTTTCTTCTATGTTACATTTTAGGAGTGTGATGGCTTTGTGTTTTATACTTAGGTCTATGATATGTTTTGAATTAATTTTTTGTAAAAGATGTAAGATCTGGGGATCTATTCTTTTTTATATATATGTAAATATCCAGTTGTTTCAGCCACATTTGTTGAAAAGACTGTCTTTTCTCCATTGTTATCAGCTTGTCCTTTTCAATATTTGTGTGGTCTTTTTCTGAGTTCTCTAATCTGTTTCACAGATCTCTTTGTCTGTTCTTTTGCCAGTGCTACAGTTTTGATTACTGTAACTTTAAGGTAAGTCTTGAACTTAGAGAGTGTAATTGTTTGAACTTTCTTCTTCTTCTTCAATATTGTGTTGACTATTCTCTGTCTTTTGCCTTTCTATATAAACTTCAGAAGCAGTTTTTCAATATCCACAAAATAACTGGGTGGGATTTTGACTGGGACTATGTTCAATCTATAGATCAAGTTGAGAAGATATCAAGACATCTTGACAATGTTGAGTCTCTCTATCTATGAACATGTAATATCTCTTTATTTAATTCTTTGATTTCATTCACTGGAATTTTATTAGACATCTTTTTTTAACTTCATTGTTACAACTTAATATGTTAAATGTTGCCCCTGTTATGACTATTTGAGGTTTTTGTTTCATTTGTTTTGTTTTTAATATTATCTTTCTTTTTAGTTTTTATTTTCCTGTTCAAAATTTCATAATAGTGCTAACTTATTTTCTAAATGAATAAGATGATTAGCCATAAACTGAAGGCCGTCTGACATATTGACACAATGGGCCTTTTCAGTCTTGCTCTCACGACTTACCTGCATGTATCTCTTGTTCTCATTGTACTGAACCAGTAGATACTCCCTCATGCCTTCAGCTTCTCCTTGCCTTTGCTTCTTTTATCCCATCTGTTGTCCTTTCCTCTTCTCTTTCTTTAACCGTTTGCATCCTACCTACATGCAAGATTGAACTCATATACTCACACATTTAGCCACATGAAATGAACTGTCATAACACTATTTCTTCCTTTCTTATGACAAGTAAATTTACTCTGCTTTATATTATAGTTATTTAGGGACTTATTATTCTTCTAGGTCACAAATGCCT